CAACACCGTTTTGCTAGGGTGTATATGGTACAGTCAGATGTCTTGTTATCCCATTCTTCTCACAGAACAAGTTAAATTCAGCTGAGGTAAACTCTCATCCTCTATCGGTGCGAAAGGTATTAATAGCTAAGCCTGTTTGGTTTTCAACTATCTCTTTAAACCTTTTGAACCAACGAATACCTCACTATTCTCTTTTAGTAGCATCGTCCACATATATCTTGAGAAGTCATTTATTAACACAAAGACATAGCGATTGTGTGCTGGTGTTGGTGGTGAAATCAGTCCACACTAGTCTCTATGTATTAGCTCCAGTGCTTGGTTGCTCGGAAAGTAGCTTTAGGTGGGAACAGCCTTCTTGTCTGTTTCCCTACTAAACATGTCTCACATACATCTTTCTCAAGTGGCATTCCTTTAACGAGCTCTCTGTCAACCATGTTTTTCATCACACCAAAACTTATATGTCCAAGCCGTGAGTGCCAAGTCCATGTAGCATCATCATCTTCCACATGTAAGTACTCAGGATAACCAATCTCCAATCTTCCACATGTAAGCACTCAGGATAACCAATCTCCATTGGTGTCTTGTATAGTCGATTTGGTGACCTTGTTACTTGCAAAGCAACCTTCCATGAATGTCTCTTAGTGTTAGAGTATCTCCTTTCATGTGCACTTCACATCCACTTTCAGTTGCCTGTCCAAGGCTTATTATGTTATGCTTTAGGTCAGGTATGTAGTAGATATCTTTGAGTGCCTTGTTGACTCTAGTTTTACCCACAAAAGTGTTTGTACCCTACCCCAGTATATTAACATAAGATCCATCACCAAACCTAACTTTTCCTTTAATATTCTCATTCAGGCTTGAGAAGAAATCCTTGTTCCCTGTCATATGGTTGCTCGCACCGTTGTCCAAGTACCAAATGCTTGCATCTCCTTTGTTGAGGTCGTAGTTCTTATGAAGTACTTTGTTTCGTTTAAAAACACTACCTCATGAACATACAGAGCATCTGCTTCCTCTGTTTCGTTCAGGTTTGACTCTTGATGCTTGTTTTGTCTCTCGGGACAGAGTGATGCAAAGTGACCAGGCTTGTCACATCTCCAACATATGACCTTGGATCGATCTTTCTTCTGATTCTGATTTGATTCTCTGGGTGCTCCTCTTTGGTTTTGGCCATTGGATCTCCCACAACCTCTGCCTCTGTCTCCACCTCCTCGAGATTTTCCTTGGAAACCACCATAACCTCCACGGTTACTTTGATCGTTGTTGGCCCACATAAACTTCCCTTGGTCTTCTCCTTGAGCTTCTTCCCCATTGCGTTCTTCATACATCTTAAGCCTCCCAACTATGTCCTAAAAACTTGTTTTGTTTAGATCTAGGACTTGCTCGAGAGAAGCTACAATATGAATAAACTTGCTTCTTGGGAGACCTTTTAGGAATTTCTTGACTAACACCAGTTATTCTATGGTTTCTCGTTAAGAAACTGATTTTGATGCTAAGCCTTAAATCATTCCTGCGAAGTCATCAACTGTGTCGGTATACTCATCTTCAATTTATCGAATTCTGCCATCAGTGTTCAGTGTCTTGCCTCTCTTACACTATCTGCTCCGAGATGTCGTGACTTAACTGCATCCCAAACTCCATTTGACGTGTTTTGTTCACCTAGTTACAGGATAAGACTTTCGGGGTTAGACTGGAACAAGAGTGCAGTAGCTATGTCATTCTTCTTTGCATCAGTTGAACCAACATCTATTGTGTCCCAGACTTGTGTATACCCGCAACATAACTCTCATCCTCATCGACCAAACTGTCTAGTTTTTCGATGTCAGCATTGGACATTGGATCACTGAAGATCCAATATCTTTGGTTCGTGGTTGATATTACTCGTCCCCATGATCTTGTAGCTTATGATCTTCTTTTTGATATCCCCTTAGGTTCGACTAAGCTCTGATACCAATTCAAAGTTGTAACTTGCTAAGAGCACAATTATAAAGAACTTCTCTTCTTTATTGATTTAGAAACTTCTAAAACTAAACCACTCTTCTTAGCTTTATAAAACAACTCTCCAAAAAATACTTGTTTATTTAGAACTTAGCTTATCCTAATTTTATATGATACAGGTGATGTGCTGTCGTGTTGAGGGTTGTCAAGTTTTACCCTAAATGAAATCAATAGCCGCAAGTGCACAGCTGATAGATTGTAGTACTTAGGGATCGAATCCACAGGGAAGGATGATCTTTCCTGCAAAAGCCTTCGAAAGAAATATAAAGTAAGGAAGTCTAGAACCAAACGGTTTTGTGGGGGTTTTGGTGGTGTGTTTAAAATGTAAAACCGAATTTTAAAGAGAAAATACGGGAATAAAAATGACCTAATAACTAAACTTAACGAAAACGGATAAAAATGAGAAAAACGGCTAAACCTAATTGCTTTAATAAAAATCGATTGAAAGGGAATGAAAATAGTGAACTAAAGCTTGAAATAAAACGGTGTGAATCTATAAGAAAAGAGGCGCTGGGGTTCAGGGAAGTTTTCTCAGGGGTACGAACGATTCAAAACATTGCTAGAGAGTAAATTTGAGAAGATCTTAGCTTAAACTTTCGAACTGGAGTCACGGACGTATGAATACGCCACTGTCGTGATCATAGACAACTATCTCTCTCAACCCTGACCAGTAGGTTTCCACTCTGGCCCTGGAAAAGAAGAGATGCATTATGTTTAAGACAAGTCAGCATTCACAAATCGCCCATAGGTAGGTTTCCACTCCTATGTTTGTTTTGCTCTCCCAAACTAGATCTGACACCGGATGAACACTTTCGTGTCACCAAGCATTTGGATCAGATTGTAGTTCATGACGCTACTCTCATGCAGTAAAAACGAATTCAGAAGAAAAAGCTCTAAGATTCGGCTCAAAAGCTCATGGAATCCTCAACGAACATATAAATCCCCATCGAAAATCCCTTAGTCCCAACAATAAATCTACTCAGACATGATGAAGGAAATCAAAAACATAGTATTAAAAAGTAGAATAGAAACCGAAATTGAAAAAGAAAGAACAAGGGTTCAAGAGACAAATCTCTCTCTCCCTAAAACCTAAAACTTAAAAAGTATTCTAAAACAATAAGAACATATGAGGGCATGATACGAATTAGGGTTTCTAAGACATGTATTTGTAGTGCTCAAGACATCTCTGGACGTCACTTAGGGTTTCTCCAAATGAGGGAATCATTTTGGGCTTCAGAAATGGGCCTTCGGGCTCGGAGTTAGCTGGCCGCGGTCGGGATGAGTGTGACCGCGGGAAATAGGTGGCTGGCCGCGGTCGCGGTGCTTCTGACCGCGGGAAATGCTCTGTTGGCCGCGGGTGGAAACGCTTGCCGGCTGGTTTACGGGACATCTTGCTCTTCGCGTAACTTTTGATTGAACCGTTGGATTACCAAGCTGTAAAGTGTGCTGGAAAGCTGATACTTCCATCTTTACGATCTCCAAATTTGAGATGGATCAGACAGTGAGAAGGCCTTTAATCGGGGGTGAACTTCTGACGGTTTGACTCTGAGCTGAAATCTGGTTTTCTATCCATTTTGTTAAGCTTTTCCCTAAGTTACCTGAAAAGAGTATTGGAACTACAAATACTAGAAAAACGTAAGAAAAGTACTTAAAAGCAATTAAAAACATAGAAAAAGTATTTCAAAACGATCCAAAAAAATGGTCAAAATACGGTGTTATCAATAGGAAATATAAAACTTTATCTAGACATAAAACTATATCTAAAACTTATTAAATAAATCATATCCTTGTCTTCTAAGCAACTTCTTAAAAAATAATTTTATCTCTAAGTTTGAATTATCCAACAATGACAAGTTTAAAATCAAGTTGGCTCTTTTTAGGAGTAGTGTGGTGTTTTACGTGGGGTTTCCAATGCACCTTGGTGAAGTGCAGCTTGTGAAAGTACAAGGTATTACCTGTTTTGTCTCTTTTGCTCAATGTCTAGTGCATTGAGTAGGCCATCCTGTTGTCTCGATGCTTGCTGGCAGGGAGTTTTCTCCTTTTTTGTGGCCATTGGGGGTTCTAATGGCATTGGTTATTAACCGCATATCCACAAATGGACCTGTGGCGTACCTCTCTTCCACCTTGTCACAAATTGGATTGAAACATGGATACGAGACGTCTAGACATATTAAACAACTAAAGTTCTTGGACGTTGTGTCTGCATTTCTTTGGTTGGGTTTGGAGGCTGTAAAGGGTTTCTTCGACAACTTGATGATTTTTGGTGTCATGTCCTCGTTTTTACGCCACCACCAATTTATGTTTCGTTGTGGAGCTCGCATAGCTTGTGTGATCCAGGGCCGACCGCATGTCCTTAGTCGGGATATCATTAAAACGCAACTTTTCCTTCCAATTTTTTCAAGATCAGCGATGTGGGACAAAGTAAAATAGATATTTAAAAAAAAAATTGGGCTTTTTTGCTGCTCCAATATGCTATTATATGGGCTGCTCTAAAGCCCTTATTTCACGGGCTTTAGCTCAGGGCTGCCCTGCTTGTGTCCATGAAAAAGGGAAAACAAAGTATCTATGGCTATTCTAGGATTTTGAGATCTTTATGATTCATCTTTAACCGTTCTTGATCATGTTTTTTTTTTCAAAAGAATGTAAAATTTCTTCATCTAAAAAAATTACATTTTTACAATACATGCATCAGATGCTGATTTTTGAATAGTTTAGAAAAAGAATTTGCAGAAGAGGTTAACTTGGAGGTCTTGAAGCAAACCAAAAACTCAAGCCCTGTGAGAAACGATTATCTCCACTTCGGATGATAGAGGATAATCGATTTCTCACGGTCTTGTCGATGAATTTGATGAGTATCTGCGTCGATAAAGGCTGATCTCCATGTCTCCGTTTGTTTCGTTGGTGCCAAATGGTGTGGAGGGTAGTTTGAAACAGGTATCGCATGACAAAGCTTGTTAATGGATCCTGTTGAGGTCGGGAGATGAACTGAAGAAGATCATTCCAATCTATTGTATAGTTAGCGTTGAACACACCTTGAGCCAGGTTCGGCCATATTTCCGCAGAGAACCGGCAAGCAAAGAATAGATGATTTCGAGATTCCATTGGGTCTTGGCAGAAGATACACGAGGTGGGAACTTCTGCTGCCAGCAGAGAGTTCTGTCACCAGTAGATAGACGGTCCAGAACAGCGAGCCAAGTCATGAAGGAGTATTTTGGTGTCGAGTAGGAGAACCAGACGCCATTCCACCACTGCTGAACAGGTTGTGGAACTCGTATTTTGTTCCAGGTTGCCTTTGATGAGATTCTCTCTTTGAAAACACCATCCTTAAACCGCCACAGGTGAACATCAGCCACATTCAGTTTTATTTGAGCTCGGGGTGAGTCAATAAGGTCCTCAACTGCATTTAAAAGTGGGCTTCGGTGTCGCCTCTGCTGGTGGTTAGCAGCAACCATGGCGACAGTGTCATGAGCAGAGATTCCAAGATCTATGAATCCTCGTGATCTAATCTTGTCCAGAAAATACCCCGAATCACTCTAACAGGCAAACCAGAAAGAGGTTCCTTCTCCACTGATGATCTGAATTTTGTGAAACTGCGTAGCTTGATCTCTATATTTGAGGATTTTCCTCCAAATCCAAAAACCCAACTGAGAAGTAGTTTTCACTGCCCAAAAGGAGCCACGCCTGATGAGATACCTGGTGATCCAAGAGACCCATAAAGAGGAGTTCCCAGAGAGAATCCGCCATATGAGTTTCATAATACAGACTGTGTTAGCTTCTTTCAGCGGTTTGATACCAAGGCCTCCTTCCTTCTTGGGCCTGCAGACATCATCCCAAGCAACTTTCGCTTTGCGAGACGACATTTCTGGACCCGACCACAAATATGCAGAGCAGATACCGTTGATTTCGTCGATACAGCCTTGCGGAAGACAAAAAGCTGAGATCCAAAAATTCGCCAGACTCCAAATAACAGAGGTGATTAATTGAAGTCGTCCTACGAAAGAAAGGTAGTGCGCTGTCAAGGACCGGATTTTAGACCTTATGCGCTCCAGAAGAGGGCTGTAGTCCGATGATGTCATCTTCTTTGTCATCAGAGGCAAGCCAAGGTATCGGACTGGGAGCTGATCAACTGCAAATCGGAACGTCGCTTCAATCGCAGCTCTGTTTTGCTCTGTTATCCCAGCGAGATAAGCCGTAGATTTCTCGAGGCTGATTTTGAGCCCCGAAATCATGTTGGAGTGATCATGTTTATGTTGATCTTCACGGCGTTTTCATTGCCAATTGAGTTGCATTATGGAGGTGGAGCTGTTCGTAGTGCACAATTGGGTTCCAGTTACACATACACGACTACTATTTGGTGGAGTGACGTTACTTGCGATTTAAGCAAGCTGGTTTTTGTCGTTTTAGCTTCATACAGAGAAGAGTTAATCAGGATACAATGGAGCCAGTTTTGTAAAAATCTACACCAAGAGATGCTTCGTTATTACACAAAGAAGTTTCTTTTAATAGGCAAAAAATACACACATGGCTTATCTTACGAATCTATGAACATGTCGTTGAGCTCAATATCGTCTGTTGATTTAATGGGTTTAAAGCCATACCAGCGAGTCAAGAACTCCATTGCTACATCACACCGTTAATGTTCTTATACTATATTTGCTTTGGTTGGTATAATAACCCAGCCCAATAAGGATCGGTTTAATTAAAAATCATTTTTCTAATGGGATTCTAAAACATAATTAAGCCCAAATCCTTCCGATATAAACTTCCTAATCCCAAGAAACCCTAATCTTTCTCTCTTTTCTTTCCAGCCACCTTGTCTTCTCCTCCTTCTCCAATCTGCCGAGCATCCTCCTCTCCTCCTCCATGACGTGATCCTGATCCTCCTCCTTTCTCATTGCCTTGTCTCTGCTCTTCCCTCCTCTCATCTTATCTCTCTCTCGGCCTTTTCCTCTCTCTTCTGTACCGTCAACTTCGAGGCGATTATCTGGCGAACCGTGTTAATCCACGCAACAGTCAAGATATCAAATTGAAGCCCAGAGTCTTAGCTTTCGAGTAAGATCAAGTTCGTCCAAATCGGAGATCCGAAAAGCAAAGGTGAGAGTTGTTTCTTTCCAACTACTGCATATTATGATCTATGGTGATTGATTAGTCTTTTCTTAAACCATAGCTCTGTGTCTGTGTGATTGATTGCTTGTTGTTGATGATGGTTCTTGTTGATGGTGTTAATGATTGTTGGATATTACTTGATGATGAGCTAGGTTGCTAGAGATCAATTAAGTGCTAAAAAGAATGATTTAATTGATTGACAAATTGTGTGGTGATTGATATGAAGTCGTAAAACCTTGTAGATTGCTTGTTAGGAAACTCTATTGATTTGTTAAGTAGATCGAGTTAGGTACTCGACACAGGCGATCTTGTGGTTCAAGATTTCTTTTTGGGCGGCTGTCTGTGCCTATTGGACCAGCAGAGCTCATCGCTAGGCGGTTGTGGTGAACCGCATGTTTGTGTGACCAAATGGTGATTTTCAAACTCAGCATATCACGGGTGGCAGTCCGATTCCGCGAGATAGGATGTCATCCTCTGCAGAGTTTTGCTCTTGTTTGGGAATTAAAGTGATTGCTGAATAATTTAAAAGGTGCATAGGGTTTGCCATGCCTTGAGCATGATGAGGAGAATTAACGGAGAGTTATGATATGCCTTGAGCATGAAGGGGGTTTGCCATGCCTTGAGCTTGATGATGAGGAAATGTGAATTGACGGGTAAAATGAACTTAGTAAACCGGATGATATCTAGAAGTCCAGGATTGAGTCCTGCTTGAGTTGTAATAGGAGTATACTCTTGTTAATTTCTATATTATAATATGTTGGAAGTGATAAATAAAACTCTTAAGGTTCACCTCACTGAGTAATTCCCTAATTACTCACCCTTCTATCTCCCTTTCAGGTTAGCATTGGATCTAATATCTAGTAGGATTGTTGCTACAGGCGTTTTCGGTCCTGGCAGACCTTTGCTCCCCACTGGACTAAACCTGGTGGCTAACCAAATGAGGTTAGACCATCGACCTAACATGTCCAATTCTGATTATCTCAGAAGATCCTAGACTGGAATGTTACAAAGTGGTATCAGAGCTCAGGTAGACTTCCTAGTTTTGTCCTAGGAGGTCACGCCTACAGTTTTGATGTTTAAAAAAAAATTTCAAAAAAGAAAATTTCAAAATATTTGTGGTTTTTAGAATTTTAAAATCCCGGGTCAAAAAAAAGTTTGTCAAAAAAAAAGAAGAGTTGGACCATTTTAGAGATTTGATTTACTGGTAGCAACAATATATTAGATAGATTTTTCGGTTAAAATTTTTTCTTTCTTGATTGTCTCTCTTCCTATCGTATATTTTCTTGGTTGTTCTTCCTTTTTTCGACCGGAAGTTCTCCCATGCTCGTCAGACAACGCACAAGAAGGTCACTTCTTGTTTTCAAGTGAGGTTTCGCAAAGAGCTGGTGTCATCTTATCTGATAGTGAAGGAGAAGAAGATTCATCATCCGATCAGTGATTTGTATGTTTCTCTGCTTTAAAAAAAAAGCTTTTCTTCGGGAGTAGAACTTTGATTTTTAATTCTTTTAGATATAGTTAGATTCTGTGTTAGTGTCTTTTTTGTTTCAAAAAAAAAATTGTTCTACTCCTATTTTTCGCCTAATAATTATAAATAATAATAAATAATAATAAATAAATAATTATTAGAAGTGAAATTCTGTTTTTAAACTCTGTTTTTATTTGTTTAATTTATTGAGTTCTTTTTAGTTCTAATACGAATTAGTTAGATTTTGTGTTGATTTCTTTTTCATCTCCTTTTCAAAAAAAAAAAAGGTTTTACTTCTCCTCTTATTAATGAAAAAATTTTTACTTAAAAAAAATATGTGTGTATTATAAGTATATAAATATCGCCATATACAGATGAATTTATAGAAGCATTTGCATTGGTTAGAGATTAGTAGCCCTTTCTCTCCCATTTCTCTACAATATCACTTTGTGTTTCACCTTTAGACCTTCATAAATCAAGGCGAATTGATTCGACCTTTGGAGAAATCCACATCCTCTTTTCCCATCTTTTCCTTCTCTTCTTTCTCATAAATGTTATGGTGATAATTCTTTCCTTCCTCATTATAAGTCTTATGATACTCATTCCTCCTTCAAAAAAAAAAAAGGGAAGAGGGGGGAGGGGGAAATCTCTTTTCAAATGACCCTTCCTCTTTGACATCTCTTTCAGGATATTTATTCATGTAAGATGTATATGTCACCCTCCAAATTCCTTAGATTATAAGTGTCTCATGTTCTTCATTCCTTCATGATTATTTCATGATGTCTCTTTCCTTTGTTCTTCCTCATCGAAAATATATATAAATGAAATCCTTCCAACCTATCCTTTTTTCTTATTCTCTTCACCATAAAAATTTCTCTTATATTAATATGTTCCTTCCTTTATTCTTTTCTCTCTAGTAGTGGATACAAAGTGGCATCTCTCTTTCATGGTCCTTTCATCCTCTTCTTCCAAATAATTTTCTAGCTTGTTCACTTTCTTTCCTTCCTTCTGTGTTGTAGCTTCCATCCCATTTCTTCCTCATTCTCCAATCATAAGCTCTCTGGTATACTTTCTTCTTTTCTGTTCTGCATGATTTGCAGATAGGCATTCTTCTGTTCTTTCCACTCATTGCAAAAGCTCCTTCTGCTTATCATTCTTTTTCTCTCCTGACTATAAATTTTCTCCCGTAGTACGTTCTTCGACCTCATTGTAAACCCCTCGATATTTTTTTTTTTCCTCTTTTCTTCACCATAAATTTCATATCCTCTCTTATCTTGTTCCAGCCTTCCGATAATTTTTAAATATTCCATCTTTCATTCATGTCCATCATTTCCCCATTCCTTTAGCCTAAAGTTATGTTACCTTTCCATTTCCTCCTTTCATTTTCTCATATGGTTCCCTCCATTTTCGCTCAAGATCATTTCCAGCTATTTCATGTTCCTTTTGCTCTTTGCAATGATTTCTTCTCGCTTGTCACTCTAATATTTTCCTTGCCATTAAGCTTTCCCTGTTTAGTTCGCTCCTCCCACGCTTACTAAAAGCTTTTCTATATCATTTATTTCCTCTCATCTCTTCCATAAATTTTGTAACCTCCTTTCATCATTTGTTCCCTCTTTCTTATAAATTTTATATAGCTTTTATTCCTTATTTTCTGCAAAGTTCTGTCACCTATCATTCCGTTATTGTTCCTTCATCATGAAATTCCTTCTCTCCAATTCCCTTCCATTTCGTAAATTGTTATTCCCTCTGCCTTAAATTCAAGAACCAGTTCAGCTATTATCTGTTCCTCTATTCTTTTCCAAGCCTTCTTGCTTCTTCCTCCCAGCCCTGCTGCAGCCTTTGTCCCTACTTCCCACCTCGAGCGTTCATTTCGTAACCACTCTTGTATTTAGAGGGATTCAGGTACTAATCCTTTGCAACCAGGGAAGATTGAAATAACCCAGCCCATTAAGGATTGGTTTAGTTAAAAAAAAATTTCCTAATGAAATTCGAGAACCCAATTAAGCCCAAACTCTTCCGATATAAACCCCTCTAATCCCAAGAAACCCTAATCTTTCTCTCTTTTCTTCCCAGCCACCTTCCTCCTTCTCCAATCCTCCAAGCATCCTCCTCTCCTCCTCCATGGCGTGATCCTGATCCTCCTCCTTTCTCATTGCCTCGTCTCTGCTCTTCCCTCCTCTCTTCTTCTCTCTCTCTTTCGTACCATCAACTTGCGAGGCTATTATCTGGCGAACCGTGAACATCCACGCAAATATAACATATCAAATTGAAGCCCCGAGTCTTAGCTTT